CTAATTGTCCCATTATGTGAAACTTGTCAAGTTGGAATCCGACTCACTGTCCTTATTTTTGCCATTCCACTGTCCTGAGATTAGAAAATTGGGACTCGATTGCTCGCAGAGAAAAGCAACTTTGAGTAAAATATACAGTGCGGATTCCTGCTCCGGGCGAACTCACGCTCAGATCGTCACAATTTGCACGCAACACATTGCCGTCTGATTTTAGTACACTGGATGTAAACACGCGAATGAACCGAACCGCAGATGTTATGCGGATTCGGCTCGAAACCCATGCAAATCGGTGTGTATTGGATTGCATACATCCTTTTTCACGGAAAATTGTAATCCTTTGAACCATTTCGATAAATAACCACCATTTAGTCGGTCATTAACGGCTCATTCTAAGATCTACAAAGAATGTGTGTATCGACAAAAACGCTCTTGTTTTCGGTCCGGGTGTGATCCAGAGTGAGTGACGATAGATCGGGTAGCGCATTGATTCCGATCTGGGGCCGTTGGATGAACCACCAACCTTATGTGGACGACGTTTTGCGCATGACCGACTCCACTAGATTATATCAACGCCGCACATCGGGATTTGAAATTCCCAGTCGAAAGCCTAGCAGATACTGAGCAAGCATCGTTGGATATTGGCCTTACTCGTCGTGCTGATGGGAGTTCGGTACCCAGGAGCTCGATGTGTTGCTTTGTGCCACTCGGTGTAAAGAAAAACATCATATTCTATTTGGTCAACAGAGTTAAAAAGGATTTGCACGAAGGACATGTGGGTTGATGAACTACGATTTGAGCATCATATCCATATTCAACATGTACACCCGGAACGCTTGACAGATTCTTTAATTCCAAAATGCAAGTGATTTCCTCCAAAGCATTAAGGCTACGAAAAAGGCTGCGTACATCTCAGTGCATTGACATAAATTGAACATGCAGCACTGTCATGCTGTTAATAACATGTTCCACGCAACCAAGCTCCAAACTCGATTCGCATCGAACCCATTAGTGTTTTTATCGTTGAAGGATGATATTCCCGATTCTGCTACCTCCATCTGTATCTGTGCAGTAAAGTTGCATGACTCAGAGCCTATTTCAACGCAGACGTAAGTCACTCCTCGCGTGACTGAGAATAATTAAGTCCATCACGATTCCATCATATAGTAGACACTAAGCACACCGTAATCAAAACCAAAACGTTCAAACCTCCATGCAGAGACAAAACGGGAGGAGCGTTTTTGTATTCTTGCCATGGAATCTGTCTTCAACCCACCCACCCCCCTCTGTATGCTGCAAAGCAATTTGTGCAAATATCTAGCTTTCTGTGACCAAATTGTCTCCAAAATTCAAAGTACTTTTCCCGTTTCGTTCGACTAATATAGTTAGTTCGGAGTATAGAAATAGAAATAAACTGATCACGATATATACACCACACGAACTAGAACCAAAATTGTGTATATTGATCATTTCATACTCTATTTCGCATATTATTCTCGCATGTTTACCTTTCTCTATTCTATCATTGATTTAGAGCACTCATCTTTACGATTAAGCCTCGTGCATCACCACACCTCATAAGTACCCTGTCATCTCTCCTCCCATCTGCTCTTTGCACGCTTCTGTTCCCTGCATATACCACTGCACATGCATTTTCATAGGAGTCCACAGTTGTGGAAAGTGATCAGTCATCATACCGGTCAGGTCGGTTGCGTACCGACAGCTATCCTCAAACCATGCACAGGCAATACACGAGAGCTGACCGCCCAACGGGATACCTCAGCCACTCCGAGCCCAGCGGTCAAAATGAACGATAAAGCCAATGGGTCTCCGTCCACCGCCAAATCACTAATGCGCAACGGGCGTCGAGGTAAGTGTGAGCCATGGGATCTGTCGGCATCTGTGAAATTTCGCATCACTATGTGGCGGCATGCTTGTTTGACTCCTATCAGTTCAGCCTGTCCTTCCCTTAACGTGCCTATTCTACACCAGTATTCATTTAGTCGAGCCCGCTTCGCTTGTCCCACCCACCTCATGCACCCCGGACAGTATGTACGTTTACATAGTTTGTCATCTGATCCTTTGGTAAGTACATGTCATTTCTGGTCATGCCAATCCGACCCGGAAAGCCACAAAAATAGTTCACACACACCACTCCCAATCTTCTCGTGATCTCCCCCCAGTAATCGACAGTGTAACTGATACGAAGTGATTATATCGCCTTCGCCGTGCATCAAATTGGGAGAATGAACAAAATCTGTCAGACACGATTCAAGAGCGAACGAGAGGGGTGGCCCATTTGTTTTCTAATGATCTATTCGTTCGTCATGCGGAGTGAATATGCTATTCCCTGCTAACAGTCTGTGTATATAGCTCTGTCATCCGATCTATTAGGGATCTTCAACAGGACATTCATCGCGTATGATGCACTGACCACATGCGCCTAATGCACATGGGCAGGGCGGTTGACCAAGCTCTTATACGTTGTTGGGTGAACTGGACTTTATCAGACAGGAATCCATTACCGGATGTGCGCTAATGTCCTACCAGACCCGTTTCGCAGAAACTGATTCACGCTGAACAGGTGCATTTGAACACAGATTCGGTGAACATGTACACTGACGCTGCTGCTGCTGCAGGTTCGTAGCAGACTGAATGAAATACAATGTAAAACGCTAGATCTTTTAACAGTCATAAATGACACTTTCACTCTGGGTGTAATGAATACACCTCCTTCCTTCAACAGAGGTAGCTTTCAGTCGGTTACCTCTGGGTATTCCCTTCTTCATTTTATGATAGATCCATTTAGAGAGTAAAGAATACACTCGCTTCAAAAGCCTTATTTCGTAGTACTGCTCACTTACCTTTCATTTTTAAGCTACTACGTCCTCCGTGAGTATAAATCGCCTTCTGGCATATCTCTGATGATGTCAGCCCACGTGTAATTCAGTTTCAGTTTGGTTTTTGCAACCATCAACCTTGCATTTTCATGCGCCAGTTTTGGTTGCCGTCTTTTGGCTACCAATTTGGGTAAAAACAGAATGAAGATTGGAATGTTGAGGGTAGAGCCAAGCAGAAGATAGAAAACTCATAGACTGTGGTTGCAATAGTGTTGAGTAGATGCGCGAACGCCACTGTTTTCATCACTCCGTGTCCCTAATCACCGGTTACCACAATCTTAGGGTTCTCATCCAGGGAGCCTAACGGGACCTATGTGACCCAGTCTCCTGGTTAGGGTTTTCATATCATCCTGCCAGGTCTTAGCCTGATCGCCCTTGACCTGTTTCTTATCCGCTATCTGCCTCGACAAATATTGCGCTCCGTGGGAGCCTATTGGGTGACATGCGCAACTTTTGTCCCAATCAGCGTAATCTATGGAGGTCGACTACCTGCTCTAGTGGACGACCGCGATTACCTAAAACTCTACGCCTAACCTCAGCATTGCTTGTCCGGTTTCCCCAGATGACTCGTACTATGCGGTGTAGACAACGGTGTTCAAACCCCGGCAATTCAATTTTATCCTTATCCCGTAATGACCAAGTCTCTGCATCGTAGAGCAGGACTAGTCTAACTGCTGTATCATATACTAGACCCTTCATATGTAGTGATTGGCGGCTAAGTTGACGCAGTTTGAGACTTCGTTCTGGTTCCATTTACAGATTGGAGGCCCAGGCATTCTATACTTACTTTGGTCGCATTACTCCTGGTCTTCATCTTCTCACCGAGTCAGCGATGCAATCCATAGCGGAGTGCAGCACCTAGAGTTAGGTTTCATACATTCTGAGCATGTGGCCAAACCATTCAAGGTGCCGACCTTGTGGTATTGGGAAAAATTGT